AAAAAATTCATCCAAATTCACTTATTAATTTTTTTTATAATTTAAAAATAAAAATTGGTCATAAATTTAAAAGTTGCAATAACTTTTTTTTTGGTCCAATACTTTTGACCAGGGAGTATACAAGCTATAATAATGAGAATATTGAGCTTTTATTCTCGAGACATTTGTTAGTTCGCATCTACTATGATAAAATGCGCAATAAAGTTAACCTCAACACTCTTTGAAAATGTAAATCAAGAGAAAACGAAACGCCTGAGCATCGTAAAGCTCGTCTTGTCAAGGAATGTAAAAAAAAACAGAAAAGAAAGGTGGTAGAAACTACTGAAGAACAGGATGCATATCGCATATATGACCACGAACGAAAATGCCTAAAAGTAGCAAATAAAAATATTGAAACCACTATAATCCAACACAGCTGCAGCGGGGTCAAGCCATGAAGCTGCAGAAACTACAGCCGCAGCAGCAATGATCTATAAAGCCACAGTAACTACAGCCACAGCAGCAACGATCTATGAAGCTATAACCGCAGCAGAATCAAGGTATGCCGGAGCAGGATTGAGACATTTCAGAGTGGTAATATCAGAGTGTCGAAGTCCTATCTGAGCTCAGTAAATCTGAACGAGGCCTTCTACAGAAGTTTCGCAATAAAATGGACAAATTAAAACATAATCTTTACCCTATATGCAATGAGAGCTTTCCGTCCATAGTACTTGTAAAAGGAGAATGCTACCGCTGTTATAGTGAAAAGACTTACCCAAAGAAATTTTCTGCAGAAAATAGCATAGATCACGGTGATGTACCTGATGAACTCCAAGGGCTTACAGAAATTGAGAAGATGTTGATTGCTAGAGTCTTTCCCATAATGTATGTTTACAGACTTCGTGAAGGACAATGTGGATATCGTGAAAATATAATCAACTTTCCCCAAGATGTATAAGGATTTGCTACTTACCTTTCTCGGCATCCATCGTCATTAGATGTACTTGTTGTATGTCGTGAAACTGCAGATAATTCAGCAGCATTCAGAGATTTTACTGTCTATCGTATCAAAGTTGCTCGCACGCTACACTGGCTAAAAGAGAACAATCGTTATTATACTGATATTATAATAGATGATGAGGTTCTTTGTTCTTTGTCTACCAGTGGATCTATTGATGACCGCCTTCAGAATATTCAAATAGTTGCTGAGGATTTAGATAATGAAGATGAGGGTGATGAAGGTGATGCAGTTACACACACTTTTGTTTCACTTCTTCCTTCAACTTGTCGTGAAGATGTCACTATTTAAAATACCCTTGATCGCATGCAAAACCAAAACCGCCCTATAGAATGGCCACAGATCAGCAGCAATCCTGTCAATGAATTCCAAACGCTAGGGTATATTGCATACATGTTCCCAACATTATATTCAACTAGATATGCAGATCTTTGTGTAGAACGAATTAGAGACGTTAAACCTGCCGAATACTTTAGATATCTGCTTCTATATAAAGACGAGAGATTTGTACGCCATCTTCGTTAGCGATATTTCACGTTAAATTTTCAGATGCGATGGCGAGCACTACAGGAAGGAAAAGTATATGTTAAGCAAAACCTAACTGATTCTCAAATTACTGTCGCAGATATTCAGGAGAGAATAATTCAAGGCGATAATCATATTGCTGATAGAATTATGTGATTTGGCGAAGGGCTGCGTGGATCTCAGCAGTTTTGGAATGCAAGACGTTGGGAACTTTCAGATATGATCAAGCAAATAGAATCACAAGACTTGATCTTTTTTACATTTAGCGCTGCTGATTTGCACTGGCCTGAACTTTACAAGCTTATACCATTTAGTTTCACAGAAAGAGAGATCAATAACCAAACATCGTCGATAATCCTCATATCGCTGTTTGGTTCTTTAACAAGCGATTTGATTTATTTTTTAATAATGTTTTAAAATAACAA